GTTTGGGGGAGGGTGCAGGTTGGAGGGTGTGGGTGAGGGGCAGCCACGCCACATGACGCGCAGGGACGTGCATGTGCACGTGTCGGGTGGGGGGAGCATGGCCGCATGGAGGCGCAAAGGCGAGTAGCGGGCTGATTTGCGCATGAGAAGTCCAGGCATATGGTGTTCAAATGGCAGCAGACTGAGATGTATCATGGCCGGGAGGGGGCAAAGCCGCGGTCTACTCACCTGCTCATCGCACCCGTCGCGGCGCGCCGCAAGAGGGAGTGGCAGCCAAGCCCCCATGAGCGATGGTTGAGAGAGTTGGGGCCGACCCCCCATGCTTGCTTGCCCTCGCAGGACCACCGGCATGGGGCACATCGACCTGAACCGCATCAGCGGGTACATCCCCGGCAAGATCGTCTGCTACCTCATGAACGTGGGTGGACGCGGTGGATCACTGTTTTGGGGGCGGGGGTGGGTGGCGGGTAATGGTTTAGCACTTGCTTGGCAATGGTTTGGGGGCCGGGACAGCGTGTATGGGGCTGATGCAAAGGGGGACACTTGAGGGACCCAGTCCCAGCCGGCGCTGGTCCAGAGGGGAGCCCAGCTGGGACGACCGCACTTGCACGCACGCGTGCACACACACACACACACACACACACACACACACACACACACACACACACACACACACACACACACGACACGCACACATGCATGCCCCCTCAAATACAAATACACACACACACACACTCTCACACTCATCCCTCTCAGGTCTGCAAGAGCGGCCTGGCGCGCACCCGCAAGATCTGGCTGACGCGCCACGGGGAGAGCGAGTACAACCAGCGCGCCCTCATCGGAGGGGACAGCCGCCTCAGCCCCAACGGGGAGGCCTACGCCGCCGCGCTGCCGGGCGTGCTGCGGGCGCGTCTGCAGCGGGTGCGTGGGCGTGGTTGTGCGCCGCGGGGCCGGGCTTTCGTCCGGGTCGGGGGCCCGAATACCAGGCAGGGGCCGAAAGCTGAGCCGCTGTCAGCGCTTGGCATGTCTTACAAATCAACAGTCGTGAAGCATTGTTTTTTCCATCAGCCAGCTTGCAATAGTGCGCCCCTCAAGCACGGCTGCGCTCGTTGACCGGTCAAACGCGCCTCGACCCCACCGTCGGTCACCTAACGCCGCGCGCAGGACGACGACGACGGCGCGCTGCTGCCGGTGTGCGTCTGGACCAGCACCCTGCAGCGCACCATTAGGACGGCGCGCAACCTGCCGTTCCCAAAGGTGGGGTCCATTAATGCAGCGAGGCACCGCTGCCATTCACACGCGCGCGCCCCCCCCGGCCCCCTAGCCGGCGCCAACTCCCTGGCGCCCCCCTCTCCGCTGCTTGACGGCCCGCCGGGCCCGTGCGTGCGGCGCTGTCTGTAGCTGCCTTGTTTGAAGCCCAAATGGGCTTTTGTCATTGCGACATGAATCTTTGCTTGCGACGTCACCGTTCCAAACCTGACGCAAAGGTGCGGTGGAGGGCACTGGACGAGATCGATGCTGGCGTGTGCGACGGCCTCACGTACGCCCAGATCGCGGAGCGCTTCCCCGATGAGTTTGCGGCCAGGAAGGCCGACAAGCTGCGATACAGGTGGGTAGGGCAGCGCGGTTGTGCGGGCGCTAGGACGTTGTGGTGCGCGACCGTGCGGCGGGCGCGTTGGCGCCGCTTTCTGTTGGCACTTGGGCGCGCGGCCCGCCGCAAGGACGGGGCCTGTCCCCTCAGCCTCAACGGGGCTTTCGTTTTCTGCTCGGCTGACGCCAATCTCCAAAGCAGCCCTCGTGTGCATGCTGATGCCGCCGCCGCCTCCTCCCTCACCCACCACGCCCAGCTTCCCCCACCTGTACCCACCTGCACCCCCCTCCACAAACAGCTGTATTTTCAAGTCAGTCCTTCACCCAAACCCAAGCCTAACCCCCCAACCCTCAACCCCAGGTACCCCCGTGGTGAGTCATACCTGGACATGATCCAGCGGCTGGAGCCCGTGATGCTGGAGATGGAGCGGGAGGCGGAGTCCCTCGTCATAGTCAGCCACCAAGCGGTGCTGCGC